CGGCTCATTTTTATTCTGCCGGATTAATATGCCAGATACTTTCTCACAGTAATTGCTCGCTTCACGACTTTCTCGCTGCGAGGAGGCTATTTGTTTTCATTGTCGCGGTCCGCTTGCAGCGTGCAAACGACGCGCTTGTTCCGTGCACTAAGTCGTCGACACGGAAATCTCACGTGAAAGAGGCAAGATTGCATTGTTTGCGCGCGCGGATGCGATCGAATCGCGATTCTCTTTCGATGGAATACATCGGCGATCGAAAACGCCAAAGCTTTCGCGAAGAAACGGTCAACGGCGCAATTCGTCGGACGAGCCGTTGATCGAAAAACAGTCCCATCGCGACGGCAGCTTCTTCCCCGTATAATGGTCGGAGTCTATACGATAACTTCGCTTCGGCTCCGCGGCAACCGTCGCAGCGAGAACCCATCGCTGAGTCGAGGTTAAAGCAGCAACAAGAGAGAAGAAGTCTGCCTGAATGCAGATTTCGCGCGCGCACAGAACAGTCGGCGTGCGTAGGAGTGCGCGACCTTCAGCTGTGTACGCGCCATCGCAAGGCCCAAGGTTCGCTTGCCGACTGGACCCTGTCGGGATCGACAAAACAGGATGTTCGCAAAGGAAGCGCCACTGAGCGCGCAAGGATTATTGCCCTCAGTCGTAAACATTTCTCTACGCGGCTAATTGTCTTTCGTGCATTTTGGATTATGACGCGTGTATTGCGCTTCCAATTAGAATCGAAGGGAGGAGGTCAATTTTGCCCCTGCCCTCCCGCTCCGACGTTAAATATATACGAGACACGTTCGCGCTGTTGTTTATTTATTTTTTTTTATTTTTTTTTTTTTTTGGCTGCGATAGACGCGAAGGCAGATGGAGGCTGTGTCGTCTATATACGCATGATACGGCAAAACATGCCGTCTGTGGAAACGTCTTATTTCCAGGTAGGCTACTTTTTAGCGACTTCTGAGGAAGCCGAGAGCGAGAGTGCTTGGCACGCTTTGTTTGCCGGAGCGCGATCTCGAAGGGAAAATCTCGAGGCCTTTTGTAGATTTTAGAGCTCGCTCCACGGGAAAAGGTCTCTTTCTTTCGTCCGCCGGTTGTTTAAGATTCTTTTCCAGGGAAAATCTTGGGATATTGTTGGCCGATCAGTTCTAAATTATTCCTATTGCTCGGGTTAACTGCTGCGTAATAGCAGCAAATGCCTATCTAGTTGTCCATGTAATATGAGCATGTGCTATATAATACGAGGAAAGACATTAACGATAATGGACTTGATCAGATCGACTTGACAGTATCGGTGTATCAACGATTGACCGATCAGAGAATGCTGTGGCTGAACTTCTGTCCAGATATTAAATGCTTTGTCGGCATCAGTTGCAAAATTGCGTTTGGCCCGTGAAATGACACAAGAAACTGACTACTCAAAGCTTAATTAGTCGATGTTTCTACAAAAAAATCATTGTGCGTATCGATGAAAAAATAATTATTAGCGCCTGCACGCGCATCGATATTCAATGCTTGCTCGAGCTAATCTAGAGCAAAGTATAGCGCAAACCTCAGCCGATGGTGACATTACTAAATATCCAGTTGATTTAACTGCTTTGGTAGAAACGATGCGCGCGTCGCAGTCGTCAAAACGGAGAACGAGAGTAGGAAAAAAGAAAAGGAAGATTCTTCAAGAGTTAGCGTGCGAACGTCTGGTCGCGCCCGTCCGTATATATACAAGCTACCGCGCGACATTCCCGATACAAAGTTTCGATGACCAAATAAAATATATACCTGAAATCGCGTAAAAAGAAGGAGGAGGAGGAGGAGGAGGAGGAGGATAAATAAAACCTGCGAGTATCCGATTCGAGGGAGCTTCGTAGGCAGTAAACGTCCGCGCGATCATTTGGGCTGCGCGTTCGTAGAAGGAGGACCGAGAGGATAGAGAGAGAGAGAGAGAGAGGGAGACAGGAAAGAGGAGGAAAAGAAACATCGGGCGCATAGCTCCGAGGAGACTGCAAGAGGCACACTTTTGCACATACGATTAAGAGGCGCGCGACGCATGCCGATCTGTTCGGGCATCGGGAATGCGTCGTACATCGCTAATCAAAACCTCATTTTTTCAACGACTCCCCGAGAGGAGCTTTGGCGGCGAACCCGGCCACGGCACCAGACGGAATTGCAAGCTCATTATCATATAATTGACAGGGCATGCAGCTTTTTCCCATCGAACGAGAGCTTCCATGTTCATTTGATCGTCGATTATGATGTTCGATTGTTACAATTGTATTGCAAAAAGTTAATGAAGCTTGCAGCGCGGGACTTTGATTAAGTTATATCGGACGAGGATCAATTCAAAGTGAGCGATGCCATTTTTAATTTAGGGACGAAATTTAAATCCCATTTCACGATGATCGTAGCCATGAACTATGGGAATCACGAATAGATGCCAAGCAGAAATATTCGGAAGTACGTGATGCAGACGACCAAGTCAAAAAAGATTCCCTTTCTCTTTCTCTTTCTCTCTCCCGGAGTATTTTGAAAAATGCCAATCACGCGCAGAAACGCACGCGCGGCCACTTTATTGTGTGCCCACTACGTGCGACAACGCGTGTATACATGCACCGTACATATATCAGTCATTCAATCGGTGTTTTCCGAAATAATTACCAGAATCCCTCCAAGCAAACGAGAGAGAGAGAGAGAGAGAGAGAGAGAATGAAAAATAAGAATAAGAATAGAAGCCGTTACGATAGGCATAAATCTCGCATCTTCTTTCGAACGAACAATAAGGTATAATAATGGCAGGACAGCCACGCGGATTTCTTCCCATGGGGGCGCGCGCATACGCGAATGCATATGAGCGCGTCCGATCCCCAAAAATCTCGAGAGCGACACCAATGCTGTATATGCTCGCTCTGCCCCGCGATGACCCTCTATCCGACGATTTATCTATCGGCCTGTTATGAGCATTGTTACTGCGCCAGGAGACACTTTTTCTTCCATTTTTTTCTCCTGTTTTTTTTTTCTTTTTTTTTATTCTAAGGTGTTTTGTCGGAGATTAATTATTTTTGGTGTCCTGCTCTCTATACTTCAAATTGGAATTTCGTTTTGTGTTTAGACGATTTGAATTGCCTAAACTATGTATGGTTTCCAATGTTGATGAATATTCATTTGTTTCGCGATCAATTTCCAACGAATAACTTCTTCATAAAATCATTGCAATTTTTATCTAAATTATCGTGAAAATCATACAATATTTAAAGCTATTGTGTAAAACTGTACAGAGTATTAAATTTTTCAATAATGTTTTCAATACTAAACTTATATACGATAAAGCACATAAAAATAGCTGTAGTTAAAACATATGGAAGACATTTGCGTACGTCATAATAGAAATCTTTTACTTTTGATGCATTCATTACGTTATATACGTTACATAAATAATTATGTGAGAATTAAGTATAAATAAATTGTTGCTAAAGCAAGCTTTGTATACACTGCTTACTGTTGGTCTGAACATATGGGAATAAAATGGTTTTCTCTGCGCAAAGTGCGTCTTTCCCACACGTTTGGCGAAAACGTGCGTTGAAAATCGGACTTTCCACGTGTCGTGTCGAAAAATACGGTAGGACACAGATTCGCGAAAAAGTTTCTGGTCTCGTGTGGCGTTTACGCTCGAGCGAAGTGAGAAATGTACTACTATTAATCTGATTGTAAATAATTTCGATTGTTGGATGTCAAAATAACATTTACGTCGTATGTCCCCCAGTCACTACCTAAAAAGCAAAAATTACACATTTTTAAAATAATGCAAATGAATCACGTAGACAAATTACGTTATATACTGAGCAATTAGTCGTGAAATGAAAACAACCGAAGAAACGAATCACGAAGCAATTATTAAACGTAAAATCCAACCTGGAACTCAAGCGTAGACATGATATTTTCTTCCATTGGCTGATAAAAGCACCTATTGACATTGTCAAGTAGCTCAAAGGTTAGCTCGACACCGCCCGCATGAAAGCAACAGCCCGAGTACCGAAAGTACGAGCAAAAGTGGCGAGCAATGACCAATTCTTTTCGCTCGGCAACTTTTACATTCAAATAATCAACATTAAATGCGCAATTTGAACAGCAATATGCGAGCAGGAAATTATGGAAATTATGCTAGTATTAACCGGCACGTAAAAAGCTCTAATTGCTACCTGACACGCACACACGGTACTTGTCATTGAGGGGAACGAGATAACATTGAATACGTGTCGCCACCATAGTCACTGGCAGGAAAAACCGACTGCTTGGCGCACAGCTTTATATTAATAAATAATAAATATTTTGTATAAAAAGATTTGTTTTATTTGTTATATGGAGTTTGTTTCTTGAAACATGGCAATGTCGATAAAAGAAGAATAATGTTCTTTGCGTAAGTGGGTTACGTATACGGTAACGCTATCGTTGCCTCTATTAGCATTTCTTATCTCGAATGCGTCGTGGAAAAATGGTGACATGTGCACTTTCAAGTATAGAAAAGTGTTATCGTTTGGGAATTCCATTCCTTACCTGGAAAATACTGAGAAGGTATACACTGACGACACTAGATGTCTATAGTGTGGTGAATTTGGAATTTACGTAAAAATCGCTCTTATTATTAATTTCACCAGTGAACAGAATCATGAAAAAAATTCGTAGTTATTGCTATTTCTAATTCAAGAATTGAGTTCCTTTTAAACTCTTTTAAAGTTACACGTGCTGCACTTGTAAACAGGGTTTCAAAAAATAAACAGTTTTTTTAATGCTTTTTAACCAGGGAACTTTCAAAATTTCATAAATAAGTTAAACAAATATCTTAATTATACAAGAAGTCTTTATTTTTCGTAATAAAATCATAGAAATTTGTGTTGGAAGTTATCAAGAGAATCATACAATCTTTACAACTAGTATAAAGTACGAGGGTTACGATCGAAACATACGAGGGTTTACGTGATAAACTATATGAACGTAGTTTTGAATAAACTATATGAAAGGCATTGGTGTTAATGTAATAATAAAAATCTTTTATTTGTGGGGCATTCGCATCAACGTTCATTATGTACATATATACAGAGGAAACAAAGTTATTTCTGATATATATTTTTGCGCATATAGGAGATGATATATTAAGCACCGACGAGACATCCAATGTTTTCGATGTTGAAGAAATCTTGCTGAAATTTCATAAAATAATTATTCGTTAAAGGGATATTTAGCTTATGAAAATATTTGTAGAAGTATACTCACAGCGCACTTAATGACTTTGGCAGGATTGTACCAGTGCTTCTTGCACTTAGAGACGGCTTGCTTCAGGCAGACCTCGGTGATGTTTTTGAAAAATTTCTTCAAAATCTTTTCCACCTTTCTGCCCTGTAATAACGACGGTAATTACACGACTATTTACCCTAATGCTAGCCGCATTTTCTACGATTGCCGAATCGTTATTATCAAAGTCTATAAAAAACTGTAAGTTGTTGAAACGCAAAACCTGTATATACCGATGAGTATTGATGATTTGAACTGTATTATACAAAATGACATAGTAGTACTTACAAATTTGCTCCTTTCGACAATTTCAAGTGAAGATTCGAACTCGATTTCGTCGCTCTGAGCAGACGCGCTCGCAAGAGCAACCACCAGCAGAATAGCGGAGAAGATGAAGAAGTTACGGGAGAACATGATGCTGTGGAGCTATTGTCACTCGTTGATGACACTTGACTCAAGTTGAATTATGACTTTCGACGGTCGGCGTATCGTTTATATATACGCTGCGTCAATAATATCGAATTGATCTGATCGCATCGATTAGCGCTTGATACAGCAAACTTTTCCTTGTAGTACTTACCCGGTTTCATTCGCAATTCGATCGAATCTGAATTTGAGAACTACAAAATTAAAAAGCATTTGTTTCAGATCGAAGCAGTTGATTAATCTGTACACTATATTGTATGCCGTTCCAACAATGAATGCTTACAGAGCGTTTGGAAGGTATGCAGCAAAATAATATGAGATAAAAATAAAAAATATCTGTAAATGTTACTAAAAATGAATTTAGTTGGTTTTTTGAGTTTCATATTTTGTCTCTTTTAAGCAGGTCAAGAAATCCGAATTCTCGTTGAGATCGAACGATCGATTTTCTTTCTTTTAAATTCTTCTGCTTTTTCAATTATTCATTTTAAAATTGGTTTCGAGAACTCGACCATCTGACTCGCTTCGATTGCTTACCACTAGAGTAAACTAATAAATTAACAATAGTATTAAATTTTAGAGGTCATCAGTGGAAATTCGCACAAACAAAACTGTATATCTTGAAATTTTCAGCCTTACACGTATTTTCGCAAATTCCATTAAATAAAATTGAACTTTGGCACCCGGGCCCATAATCTGTTGTAAATATCAGACTTTTTTTCGTGGGCGGTCAAAATACGCATCATGTAATTTAATTCTCCGCCGATGAATCCTGATGTAAGTATCTAACAGTATAGCAACAACAGTAGTACCTCAGATAAAATCTTCGTTTGGTTGAGAAAGGAAAGTCCTGTGGCGATAAGGAGGTAAAGTAAATGACAAAACTCTTTTGACGCTATGACCCTTAGCCACTATAAATAAATTTTTCTCCTGAAAGTTATATTTTTGAGATTCTGGCAGGCTTATTACTGCTTACAGTTGCTATTATATTATCATTAATTATCTTACGTCTTCGGGTCCGAAGGGTCGAATGGAATTTTGGACGAAGTTGGGTAAGTACAACGAGGAAAAGTGCGCTGTATCATGTGCTAATCGATACGATTAGATCAATTCGATAGTGTCGACTTAGCGTATATATAACCGATACACCGTCCGACGAAAGTTATAGTTAAAGTTTAGCCAAGTGTCGTCAACAGTTTCACCGAACCATGTTCTCCCGTAACTTCTTCATCTTCTCCGTTGTTCTACTGGTAGCTGCCCTAGCCAGCGCGTATGTTCAGAGCGATGAAATAGAGTTCGAATCTTCGCTTGAAATTGTCGAAAGCAAAATTGTAAGTACTGTTACATATTTTTGATAGTAAAGGTAAATTTTCACGTTAACTGATGCAAATGCGCAAATTTTCATTGACACGGTTGAGTTTTAACGCACGTCCGAGTCATAATGAAGCTTCTACAATATATATTTCCAATCATTGTCAATATAGTTATAATTGCTTTGATAATTATAGAGCAAGAAGATTGAAAAGATTTTGAAGAAATTTTTTAAAAACATAACCGATGTCTGCTTGAAAAAAGCCGTTAAAAAATGCAAAAAGTACTGGTACAACCCTGCCAAAGTCATCCAATGCGCTGTGAGTGTCATTTTCTAAGTATCTCAAAAATTAGGCAAAATTCCTCGATAATAACAAAATATTTTTATGCGATTTCAGAAACACTTTTTCAGCATTAAAAATGTCGGGTGCCTCATCGCTGCCTAGTTCCTTAGCTGTCACGCACAATAATTTAACAAATCACTTTAATTTCTCTTTACATAATAAGAGTTGTAAATAAACGCTTGCTCTCATAATACAGATGCACTGAAAGTATTTTATCTATATTACTTCTCCAGTTTATCAAGCAAATACAAGCCCGTCACCGTAACTTTAGAAAAAAATGCGTACAACGTTTCAAACGTTTCAAGTTTGACGACTCTTTAATCTTGAGTACTTCCACGAAGATAGTCACATAACAATGTTACACTTTATTTTATTTTATTTTTTTTTTGCGCGAAATGAAATGTTATTCTCGGCTCGGCTGATAATTACGAATTCGCGTCGTCGCACGTGCGCGCGCGCATTTTCTCGCATTGTTACTGCTAATTACAACTCATTCAAGTGCCGGTGCAAAAACACCCTTCAATGGCCCTCGTAAACAAGCCACATCTAGGCAGATAACATTCCAATCATTAGCACATCCATCCGCAATTGAATCGAGGTAAAAAAATGCAACGATTCCCTCTTCCCCCAGGTACGAGTATAATGTTGCGGCGAGTGTGTTGCGCGATAGAGAGAGAGAGAGAGAGAGAGAGAAAACGAAACGTACCGAGATCTGCGTAGCGGCTATAACTCAGACCTTTATCTGGGGTTTTCATCGGCAAAGAAATGTTGCACCAGTGCGAGCTGCACTCGCGTGGCTGTGTCACGACAGCGTGACCATTTCGGTGTACGAGGTGCGCGTCTTTATTACCGCCGAGGCGCCGCCGACTGATTCATTCCTCGGAGCTTGTTGTTTTTTTTGACGCTTCTTCTTGTTTTTCTCTTTCCTTCGTTGGTGAGCTTCGAGCTCGGATTAAAAAAAGAAATGGTCGTCGTTGAATATATATGATTTGACTATAGGTCATAATAACACGGTGGGCGGATGAGTTGGATTCCGTTTGGTTCGATATGATTATCATAAATTGAGAGATGAAGGACGAAAGAGCAATTTCATTGAATAGAATTGCGGCAAAAGAAGTTTGCGGTTGTAAAGAAGTTTGCAATTTGGAATGAGCTGAGATGATGCCGTGTTGACGGCTTCAATAAACTACGAAGATTTAGCGAAAGCGCGAAGACGGATTTTGTTTGTTATTACGTTGCATCGCTTAACGGAACAGTGCAAATATTGCCGAGTGAGCCGAGGCTTGAAGTAATAGTTCGCGGACCGTTATCCAAGCCGTATATTTAACATTTGTCGCACAGCGTGGAATTGTCGGTCCGCGAAGTTGCCGATCTCCGAAATGGAATCGGACGCGACGAGCGGCTCGATCGACCGTCGAGGCTCGATCGCAGCCACTGCGCCTAGCCGATAAAGACGAGCCACGGTGTATCTGTCCGAACCGAGGGGGAGGGGAACCGGAGCGAGGCGCGCAAACGCGCGATCCATTTAAATTATCCCGAATTCCGCGACGCATTGTTCCGCGCGGCGCTCCGAGGGGATGAACACTCCTCCCCCGAGGAATAAAAAGAGGATCCGCGCGATTCTCGGAAAGCCGAAAAGCGAAACACGAGCGCTCGACGATCCCCCTGGCTGCGCGCGAGAGCGGCCCTTCTTTCTGCGCCACGCCGCGACACCGGATTCTCTTGTTTTTTCGCCTACCGGCACATTTCTTTTATATTTCGTTTCGAACTTCTCTCCCCCCGCCTTCTCAAATGCGTGCGCGTATTCAAATTTCGAGCGAGTTTGAAGTTTCGCTGCGGGAGGTTTTTGCAAAACCGCCGATTTCGATGAAGTTTTTTGGGCTTTGGGATGCCTTTAGTGTCTGATTTCTCGAGTGTGATTTAAATTGCTGCGGACGGCCGACACGCACCGTTCGCTCGCGATCGAGGCGAAACCGAGCGTTTTCCAATGGAGACTCTTCGTTAGATCGAGCAAAGAGAGGGAGAGAGAGAGAGAGAGAGAGAGAGGAAATTCTAACGATCGCGGCCTTTGAAATTCAATCGCGGGACTTCGGTGACGGGTAGGATCCGCGGGCGTCGACGGATGCATCCTCTTCCCTTACCTCGCGACGGCACCCGGCGGCCGTGCGCTCTCTACACCAATTGCGCGCGGATCGGCGTAGCGACTAGCGAGCGAAGGAGCGCGCCGAGATCGCGCGCGGCGCGAAGCGAGCGGGACGTGCATTGAATAACCTTTTTAGAGCTTTACGGGTGCCCGCGAGATGCCGAATTGAATCGGCTTCCGCGAAGCGCGCGACGGCCCGGTCTCGCTGCAGACTTTCTCAGGCCGAACGCCGGGGACGCGCTCCCCGCTCCTCGGGCGCGCTCTGCCCGCGCCCGTCGCCTCTTTCATTCCGCGCTCTTCGGCACCGCTTTGCTTCCTCGACCAGCTCTCCCTTTGCTCTCTCGCTCGTACTTGCCGATGCCCGTGATTTAACAGCGCGATACCGTGCCAACGTTATGAGCGCACAGAAAAGAAATCTCAAGAAATATACACAATCGTCTCTAATTACTCGCCTGAATACTGCCGTTCATCCGCGAATAGGAAGTACCGATTCCGCTCGGATTTCATTTCTGTCGTATTTCCGAACAAATCGTCGATCTTATTTGCACATCAGTTCACTCGGATCACAGATCGGAATCCATGGAATGGTTCATAACGTCATCTTGAGCTGCAATCATCGCGTCTCGTCCATCTTCGAAATCTGGATTCGCATAATTTTCACGGCCTTTCGGCTTTCCGACGGTGGCAATGCCCTAATTATAAACAATGAGTCGTTCTTATTCTCTTACATTATCGTCTACTCATCAAAGCTCGCGTCTGCGTCGCTTAATTCCATCTTCACAGGCCTGAACGGTCTAGCTGGGGTGTCGGCCGAGCTACATATAGAAAAAAACATTGAGTCTTGAATTTTTCAGCCGTGTGCACTTATTTTTGCAAATCTCATTATTTAGCGATATTGAACTTTACTGCCTGGGTTTAAGGTATGTTACAATAATCTGAAATGTTTAAATAATACGCATCTTCTAATTTATCTCCGTCAAAGACCTCAAACGGCTAAGTCGGTATAATGCCGTATGTGCTGATTGAAGCTCTCTTATTGTTGAGAAAATAACAGTCCTCTGACGACAAGACGGTAAAGTCAATATTGACACTGTGACCTTTACCGACTAAAAATCAATTGTACTGCTTGTAATTGTTCTTGATCTCCTTATTGATTTGCGAACATTCATTAATGGTATACGAATCAATAGTGTAGACATCGATCTAAATCTTTTATATTCTTGTATTTCCCAAATTTCAATTGAATAGCAAATTGCGAATGAAACCGGGTAAGTACCACAAGGAAAAGTATACTATATCACGCGCTAATCGATACAATCAGATCAATTTGATCGTAACGATGCAGCGTACATATAAACGATACGCCGACCGGCGAAAGTCATAATTCAACTTTAGTCAAGTGTCATCAACGAGTAACAATAGCTCCACAGCATCATGTTTTCCCGTAACTTCTTCATCTTCTCCGCTATTCTGCTGGTGGTTGCTCTTGCGAGCGCATCTGCTCAAAGCGACGAAATCGAGTTCGAATCTTCCCTTGAAATTGTCGAAAGGAGCAAATTTGTAAGTACTACTATGTCATTTTATATAATACAGTTCGAATCATCAATACTCATCGGTATATACAGGTTTTGCGTTTCAACACCTTACAGTTTTTTATAGATTTTGATAATAACGATTCGGCAATCGTAAAAAATGCGGCCGGCATTAGAATAAATAGTCGTGTAATTACCGTCGTTATTACAGGGCAGAAAAGTGGAAAAGATTTTGAAGAAATTTTTCAAAAACATCACCGAGGTCTGCCTGAAGCAAGCCGTCTCTAAGTGCAAGAAGCACTGGTACAATCCTGCCAAAGTCATTAAGTGCGCTGTGAGTATACTTCTACAAATATTTTCATAAGCTAAATATCCCTTTAACGAATAATTATTTTATGAAATTTCAGCAAGATTTCTTCAACATCGAAAACATTGGATGTCTCGTCGGTGCTTAATATATCATCTCCTATATGCGCAAAAATATATATCAGAAATAACTTTGTTTCCTCTGTATATATGTACATAATGAACGTTGATGCGAATGCCTCACAAATAAAAGATTTTTATTATTACATTAACACCAATGCCTTTCATATATTTTATTCAAAACTACGTTCATATAGTCTATCACGTAAACCTTCGTATGTTTCGCTGTAAATTGCTTACATCGTAAGCTTTATAAATAATTACTTCTTTGGTGTTGAAAATGTTATTGAAAATGTTCTTGAAAATGTTATTGAAAATGTTCTTGAAAATGTTATTGAAAATGTTATTGAAAATGACTGATACCTTGTGATGTTCCACATAATAGTCTTAAAGATTTTCATATTAACTTGCAAATAAAAATAACTATGATTTTTTTATAGTAAAAGAAAGAATTTTTGTATTTTTGTATAGTTAACTTAAAAATATTTTTGAAATTTTTAAGGTTCGACCATAATAAAAAGAGCTTAAACATTTTTTTATACACTACCTACAAGTGAACCACTCTACAAACTATAAAATGAAATTAGTCCTTGAAATAGAACTAGCAATAACTATGGATTTACGTGATTCTATTCGTTGGCAAAATCAATAATAAGAGCGATTTTAGCGTAAATTCCAAATTCACCGCACTATAGACATCTACCGACGTTAGTGTATACTTTCTCAATATTTTCCAGGTAAGGTAATGGATTCCCAAATGATAATACGTACGTTTTTACACTGGAATGTGCACATACCACCACTTTTCCACGGCACATTAGAGATAAGAAATGCTAATAGAGGCAACGATAGCGATACCGTATACGTAATCCACTTACGCAAAGAACATTATTTTTCTTGTACCGATATTGCCATGTTTCAAGAAACAAACTCCATATAACAAATAAAACAAATCTTTTTATACAAAATATTTATTATTTATTAATGTAAATTAGTTTAGATAGATGTACAGATTTTCAAGTTGTAAAACTAAAAATTGAGCGCAAGTCGTGCGCCAAGCAGACGGTTTTTCCTGCCAGTGACGACGGTGGCGACACGTATTCAATGTCATCTCTTTCCCCGTCAGTCACAAGTATCGTGTGTGCGTGTCGGCTATAGCAATTAGAGCTTTTTACACGGCGGCTATTACTAGCATAATTTCTATCGCTGCTAGCACGTTGCTATTCGAATTGTACATTTAATGTCGATTATTTGATCGTGAAGATTGTTGCTGAGGGAAAAAAATGGGTTATTGCTCGCCACTTTTATTCGTACTTTCGGTGCTCGGGCTGTTCTTTCATGCGGGTGGTGTCGAGCTAACCTTCGAGCTACCCGACAATGCCAAAGAGTGCTTTTACCAGCCAATTGAAAAAAATGTCACGTCTACACTCGAGTTCCAGGTTGGTTTTTACGTTTAATAATTACCTCATAATTCGTTTCTTTTATCTTTGTCATTTTACAATTTACTGTTTGGTATATAATGTAGCTTGTCTATGTGATTTATTGTTTATATGCATCCTTTTAAAATGTGTAATGTTTATTTTATAGGTGGTAACTGGAGGACAATACGACGTGGACGTTACTTTGGAATCTCCAACAAATGAAATAATTTACAAGCAGATAAAAACACAGTTTGATTCCCATACATTTACACCAACAGTAAGCGGTGTATACAAAGCTTGTTTTAGCAATGAATTCTCTACTTTCTCACATAAGCTAGTTTATATGGATTTCCAAGTTGGAGATGAACTACCTCTGCCTGGTCTTGGTGAACATGTTACTGTAATGACACAAGTAAGATACACTTATTATTCAATATTAAGTTTGTTGAAATGTATTATATTGTTGTATCATATTGAAGTATTGCTTTATTAATTTTCTACAATACATTTTAGATGGAATCTTCTGCTCAAGAAATTCATAAAAATCTTAACAGTATCCTTGATTATCAAACACATCATCGTCTGAGAGAAGCTCAGGGTCGTAAGAGAGCAGAAGATCTAAATGAACGTGTGCTGTGGTGGTCAATCCTTGAAACTCTTGCCATTGTTATTACAAGTTTTGGTCAAGTTCTGATCTTGAAGAACTTCTTCACTGATAGAAAATCAACATATTAGATTAGATCAATGAGTTAGAGAACATTTTGGATGATAAGTCAGCTTTGAAGCATATTCTATTTTTTGGCAATATCCAAACTTAAAGTTTTTGGATTCTGCTGAATGGAGGAACTAAGGACCTTTATTTGTGAAATGTGAAAGTTGTATACAGAGTTTGAATACAGTTGTATATTTTTTTTCATTGCAAAACATAAAAATTATCTCACAGGTTTGCTAATAATAGTAGTCTGTTTTGTAATATTTGAAGTGATATAAATGACAGAATGTCTGAGAGATTGTGTTTTTTCATAAGGTGTAAAGTGCTAGATATAGTACATGTATAATATAAATTTTTGGATAAAAAGCCTGCCATACACATTAAAATCGAAACATCTTTGTTTTTTCAATATATTTTTATCAATTAACACGTTATTATTCATAAAATCCGTGAAATAAAATTTGTTGTTGGAATAAATATGTTTGTTTCTCTGTATCCCTACTTTACTGTAAATTGTAGAACGATTGTACAGCTGTACCGGCGGAAGTACGTGTCATTTTTTTCCTTTCATTTTTTTTTCATGCTGTTTCGTTTCAGGACTTTTAAGTTAAGAATTTAGTAATGTGTTTATGTGTGTACATGCGTGCGTGGTGTGTGTGTTTTTGTATGTATGAATGCATAAGTATTTCTATATTCTCTATTTAAGATTTGAACTACAGTAAACATAACCTTAATTCTCTAAGAGTTCGTTCAGATTGGGCGATTCAATGTCAAATCTTCACAAGCAGCACGCATTCACGCGTTGCCTTGTTTGAATAGTGCCGCGTTGAAATGCTGGGAATTCACTTGCCACCATTTTCACTAGATTCATGGAGACTGTAGAATACACTAGAATTGCCCGTTACCGACGCCGAATTGTCACATCTGAACAGCTGTGATCACATCAAAACAATAAGCGTGTCAAACTGCGCTTTTCCCAGCTGTAATTATTTATTGAGTGTTTGTGAGAAAATAATTGAGTTATCAATTTTAAAAATATTCAAAAAATATGGAGGTAAATTAAAAACTGATTCACATCGAATTTCTTTTCTGAAAATTCTTGGTTTCAATGACAATCTGAAACATTTCAATCTTTGTTTTTTTTTTTTAACAATATTTTGTACACTGTATAAATCCTTAAAAAAAAGAGTGTATGTTTGAATTAATACAATATTGTTTTAAATCATTTTCCTTTTATTGCTTAAATAGTATATTTCAATAGAATAATGTTTTATGTTTTTTATATGTTTGTATTTATTTCTATTAGGAGCAAGATATTCCAATAGATATTAATTCAGGAAAGCTACTTGAGTGGTTTATTAGTAGGAGGCATTGTAACAAAGATTGGTCTACGCATATTCTGAAAATTAGAGAGAAAATTAACAATGCTATTCAGGATATGCCTGCACATCAAGAAATAGCAAAACTGTTGTGTGGCACACGTAATACATTTTTTTTTGCAATTAAATTTGTTTTTACTATTCGACTATTATGTTCTTTGATTTGTTATAGATATAAATTATTTTCACTGCAAGAAAATTGTAGAAATATTGAAAGAAACTGAAGCAGACACAAAAAATTTATTTGGACGATATGGGTCACAGAGAATGAAAGATTGGCAAGAAATTGTTCGTCTCTATGAGAAAGACAATGTTTACCTTGCAGAAGCTGCTCAGATGCTCATTAGAAATATCAATTATGAAGTTCCTGGTTTCAAAAAACAAATTCAAAAATTGGAGCAGACCGTAACTGTAATTAATCAATTTTTCATTTAGTTTCATTATATGTATTTATTTTATCTGTATATCTACAGTATATTTTTTAATAACTTTAGGAATTTGAAAAAAAGGAAGCAGAATACAAAAAATCAGAAACCCTTGGAAGATCTGACTTTAATAATCTTTGTAAACATTTGGGAATTGCTGGAACTAAAATAAAGAAAGAATTGATTGAAAGGATTGTTGAATTGCCACAGATTTATGAAAAAGTTGCAAAGAAAGTTAAAACATTGAATAATGTAGTTGAATTTTACACTGCTTTTGTAGAATTTACTTTGGGAAATCAACATAGTGGAGGTTGTGTTCCTATGGTTAAATATATTATGGGTAAAATAATTTCAAACAATACAGAAACGTCTATATTTTATTTCCAAAATGAAGTATGAACATTTTTATTTTTAATTTTAGATAAAGGAAATACAACAACATACGAATGGACTTTTGGGGAGGCACCATTATCTGTGACTGAACCTAGTTTTGATTTCAATATAGATAATGATGATGATGAAAAAGAAAATGATACAGTAAATATCTTTTCTCTTAAAGTTTTTATTTATATTTTGCATTGATAATTTTAATATCTTCATTTTCTCCATTTTCAGATATACTTTGGGGATATGGCAACAAATGAAATAGACTTTGGGAAATTGGATTTAGATAGTAAAATTGACTTTGGCAATATTGAATTAGATGTTGGTGGAGAAATAGATTGGGGTGGAATTGTAGTAGAAGATGAATCAACTCTTTCTAATGAGGAAGTAATAGATTTTGACATTTCTCTAGAAGAATCTGGTATAGAAGTCGAAGCTGCAGGAAATGATGGAGGTAATGCAACTGGATTTCAAGCTCTAACAATTCTAGACAATCCTGATGCTAGGAATGATTTCATTAATCAACTTTTTGAAGTACAGTATTACTTTTATAACGTAATTTTACGTGACAAAACAAATGCATTGTAATTATAATATTTTTTCAATCTTTCAGCTAGAAGCATTTTTGAAAATAAGATTATATGAATTTAAAAGTGAAAATAATAAAAGTGTCTTGAATATGACTAACATGCAAGAGTCGCCTGCTCTTCAACTCGCTACAGTAGATAGCATTCAAAATATGTTGGACAATGTCCAAATAATTATATCTGAAATACTTGATAGCAAGGTACAACACTTGCACAATATCAAACATTCCTCAAGGTGAACATATAATTATATTGTATTCGTATGAAAATTATAACAGTTATAGTTATTCTTATTTTTTTTTATATTACAGATATGTCGACGCTTTATCGGCAAGTTTGAAGCAGAAACGAAAGCTTATTAAAAAGATGGAGTCGTTACAGCAAACGATGCGAGAGAAACAAGAAGTAACGAGACAACAGGTTGCGTCGTTGAAACCAATTCTTAAGTTGGTTATTGAAAGAACAAAAGAATTACAAAAAGAGGTAAATGTACACTTCTTAAGTCTAAATTCGCGGTTAATTCATACAACGTAATTCTTTATTTTTATTTCAGATTGAAAAAGATATCTCTAAAAAATACAAAAACAGGGTGGTCCATTTGACCGGCGGAATCAATACCTTGTAAGATATATTTGTTAAGAGTGAGAATTAATTTTTTACAAAAGATTTTAATTGTAAATACGTTACTTAGTTATGGATTATTAAAAGTATGCTGAATTATTTTTAACGTTAAAACGAAATACACATAGTTGAAGTTGTACAAGTTTATATAATGTTCAGCATTTTTTACTTATATTTCTATGGTAACTCTGGTTGAACATGTTGTTAAATGAAATTACAAACGCATAAACAAAAAATAACATCCATTTTGATTGAGGAGTTAGAGATGGCATCTTGGCGGGAACAGAGAAAGAGGAGAAATAACAAGAAGTCCTATTTATACAATCATAAAGAGATTCTGTATGAGTCGCCAGGGCGATGACGTGCAAACTGCTTTGTGCCTTGGGCATCGATACCTGCGCAGGCATTCCGCGAAAGCTCGATCGCATTCGCAAAGCCTCTGAGCGCACGAGCCTGAACCTCCCCACTCGCCGTGCTCGATTGCTTCAACACACATAAGAAACATTTATCGTTAAATCATTCTTGAACGTGTCGTGCTTTTTAAATGGTGAATGCAAAGTTGTCGTCGCTCAAGATCCGTACTTTTGATATAATTTGACGTCATGCTCCGAATTAAAAATGCAATCAATATTTGCTTTGCTGTTGGGCGCAAAGAAGAATTAGGGCGTGCACTTTCTTTCGCACGCGACCTTTTAGTGAGCAATTACCAGCTTACCACATATAGGCTTGTAACCGCGATAGCATTTCCAATGATAGGGAACGAAGTACTCGACGAACATCGGACACTCGGCCACGTTGTAGCACCAGTCGTGCATTTTGCAACACCTTCGAACAGAAAGCGAGGGAAAAGCGGCAATCAATAGTTTTTCGATGGCGCGATGAAGAATCGATCGGAGAACAGACCTATCTATGCCGTCCATTGGGTAACCGGAGCCCAAAAAGCCACAATAACAACCGTATCCTTTGTACGCCAAGGGATTGCAGCCAGTAGTGCAAACGATCATGTTGTACAAATGCGTCACTCCCCTTTTGCTTCTCCGGTGTCCTCCGTTCCACGATGAGTCTGGTGACGATCTGCGGAATTTCGTGACACGCCCGCATATGAACGAAGGCGATGTGTGCTCGGATTGCGATTGTTATTTCTTACTTGCTCGACTCGATGGTTGGGTAAGTCAGCATCGAATTGCTGTCGCGTAAGTAACCACTCTGGCCCAAGTAGTAATCATCTCTGTCGCGGATAATTTCGTTGCTCCGAATGCTGGCGTTCTCACTGGGGAGGACTCTTGGCAGAACCTTGCCATCGTTGCTCGTCGCCTGTTCGCCTGAAGCCACATAATTAAACGACAATTCATTTCGAGCGCAAATATTTAAAAAAATGGCCGAGATCCGAGACAATCGCGCGACTGAATAAACTTTCCGCGAGTTGTAATATCGCGACGAACAGCTCGCTGCGGAACTTGTTAAAAAATAAACGCAAGCAATTAATTTCATATCTCAAACATAACAGCCTTTCATTTTATAGTACGGCAGTGCGAAACTTTTCTTCTATCTCTTTCTGCAATATTGAAATATTTCCTTGCGCCGTACGTATTCTAAGAGATTAACCGCGCAATCCTATAAAGCCTCTCGTTCCAAATTTTTTTTTCCTTTCCCCGATGATAAAGTTACTCTCGACGGGAAATAAAATACAACAAAACAAAAAGTTCGCCTCGCGTGTAAGCTTTTAAAGTTTTCCCCTTTAGTGACGTCAGACTGGCGCTGCGGAGATGACCTCAGAGGGTTTGCGCGCGCGCGGTATATGGAACATCGCGAACACGCGGATGCGCAGCATCTATAAGCAGATAAATTGAGTTTGAGGAAAAAAGCGATTCTGAACATGTTTTTCGATAATTATATCCCTCGAGCCACGCGCACTTCTCTGGTCGGTGTTTTTAGAAGACAAGAGCTAGAGAGGAATGCAGATTTACGATCTATATAAGTAACGACTGTAGCGCGATCGTCGGCAAAGTGCAACGATTGCGAAATGAGCATTGCAAGTGGATTTACGATCGATAAATGACAATTGCCTAGATAGACAAAGGACTGACACCAGAATTATCCGTCGATCGATATATACCATAAAAAATCCGAAGAAAAAAGAATGCGCCGGCTTCGCGGCTTCCGTCCCATCCTCGACGAGAACAAACACTGGCTCGCGCGGGAGAATCGCCAGACTGAAGCGCGCACAATCCCCATTCATACGCCAACCGGAAAGAGAAAAGTTCGCCCCATAAAGCCGACTCGGCGCGTCGCGTCGCTCGCGCACACGAACAAAGTGATCAGATAAAAGCCGAGAATGGCCTTTCCCTCGCTCGTGCGTCTGTCTCGCGCGCGCGAGCAAATTAATCGGGTCGCCGGGTGAGTCGTAGCGCGCTCCCGTCGCTTTCCGCGCGGCGCGAAAAAAAGGACGAGGAAACAAGCGGCCCGAACCCGTCCACTGCGCGGCCTTCTGGCGCCGACGCGCCTGAAGCTTCGTTGCTCGCGATTGACGCTCGTCGCGTGACGCGACACGACCGGCGCTCCGTTTATCATAATCGCGCTATCCGAAAAAAAGAAAGCGCTCGCAGGCGGAGAAAGGTCTCGATGCTCCGTAGCCGTTCTATCAAATTAACGAGCGCCGTTGCGCAAGCCGCCGCACGCGAAGCCACGTCGTTACGCGGCCAACAATGTTCCAAGTTTTGCGCGTACACTTTGCTCGCCGCCGCCGCTTTTGTTGTTGCAGTCGCTAAGGATATATCAAAGTTTGCCGCCTCGGGTATTAACGAGCTGTCACGGCATCGGGTTATTACCGCCTCGCGAGTCAAACTGCATCAACTTTAGCGCTAATTACCACGGGCTTCTTTAAGATTGTCATCCCTGCTGTGCACGAGGCTTCGCTCGAAATAAACTTGTAACGAGCGTTTACGCGGGTGAAAGACGCCCAACTTTTCACGTAACGGATGCAAAAAATTCAATGGACAATTATTCGTATGCACGGGCGATCTTCTCGGCGCGGACGTTTAATTTGGCTTCTTTTTTACGACGTTCGCACTTCACGCCAAAGGCAGCTTTCGTCATGTTTCAATTTGAATACAGTGATCGTCGTTATCTAATAGATGTAGAAAGAAAGAATTATGTGTGTCCTATACGCAGTTGTATACGTGTATCATCAGACGAGAGCACACCTCACGCTCAAAGGATGCAATTAGCGCCGAGTGGCGCGCGGAAAAAAAAAACAGATAATATACGCGTGGAACGTGCATTTCCCTGAGCGCTCGACTATCGCTCTTTATGCTCGCGCGCAAGTGGAAATCGCCGGGGACGGTGCACGATCAATTATACCTGGCCGCGAGAGCGGGAAAAGTGATGTTCTATAAGAAGACAACGGGATAATGATTACCAACGTGCTCGATTGACATTCGACCGAAAATCTCGCGAAACACGCTCTGATTTTCATCTCCTTTTTCGGCGAAAACGTCCTCGTCGCGTTTGCCCTGCTAATGAGTTGTACAAGCTCGTGCTCGTTTATTATTTTTTTTTTTCTTTCTCGAGGCTTCTCATCATAATTAATCAAATCGCATTCTCGTGTTCTTGTCTTTTCTCGAGAATTAGACGCGCTGCGATTTATTCATCGCCGCGATCCGCGCGAGAAACGCGATTTAATGGACCGTTCGCGATAAGCTTTTGTCGTTGCGTGGCCGCGTCGTTGCCGTGAGTTTCATTACTGGAAGGAATTTTCATATTGCCGCAGTGCCGCTCGTGGTATATTAATTTTAATTGTCTTACCCAATCGCCGTTTAAGCATCAGCGCAACGCACGTCCGTACGTATAAGGTGCTCGCAGAACGTTCTCGTTTGTAATTCGTATCTGCCTTGCGAGAAATGTCAGCGCTGCTTTGTGACTTGTCAACGGTGGGGGATCCTACTCTCAATCGTACTCTCAAAAGTATCATCCGAAATGGCCGGTAATCGTGATCGAGGAAACGGCAGTATCGACCTGTTACTTGCAAGATTCCTTTCAGCTCGCGTCAGACACCTGCATCCCAATAAAGGAAATCTCGTCCGTTGCCGAACAAGTGTCGTGAGGCGCCTGTACCTGTCGTTTTCTCTCTCTCTCTCTCTCTCTCTCTCTCTCTCTCTCTCTCTCTCTCTCTCTCTCTCTCGCGTGCGCGCGCCAAAGCACAGCTGTACGTATCCCATTTTCTCTCTCGTTCCAGCTTCGGGAAGAGGAAAAAAACTCGCCATTATAACGGTCGTTTGTTTTGTTTTTTCCAGCCGCTCGTTGTTAAGCCACGGTGAACCGAACTTTTGCCTCCTTTTGCTCTCTCGCGGCGCGTCGAAAAGCAACAGGACAAGCGACCAATATTCCCAGCGCGATGTGCGACGCAGCGCAGACGTTGATCTCTTGAGATCGTCACGTCAGCGAAGTCAGTCGAGCTCGTCTATATTGCGTGCGCGCGTCCCCGTCGCGTAATATTGGCCCGCGCGCGGGCAGCCGGTATATATGCTAAACGCCACGACAAGGCCGAGCCGCGAAATTCGTTCCACGGACCTTCGGTAAAACGTTATTTGCCCACAATGGCCAAGACGCCACCGCTCGATTACAGCTTTTCGACGATTGCAGAAATATGTGTGGCCGGGATAAGAGAAGAGCGAAGAGGCTCTCAGGAAAATAAACACGAGGAACAGCGTGAGTGCGCGCGCTAAAATAACAAGGCGCGCATCCGCAGAGCGAACGGCTTAATTAACAAACGAGCGCGTCAGGTTTAATTCATGAAATTTTACGCGAGAAAGAGAGAGAGAGAGAGAGAGAGAGAGGAAATGCAACGAAAGTGAAACGCACTCGTCCAAACCCGACGCGGACATGTTAAGGTCAGTCTTATTGTCAAGAGTAATTGCTCGTCTCTTGTCAGCGCGTCGTTAGTAATAAAAGACCGACGTGCGAACGCGACTATTTCGAATAAAAAGGCTTTCTTTGGAAAGTCGACGACGAGCTAATGGAGTGAAATAATTGTTTTTTTTTTCTTTATTTTGGGCGAAACAGCGGACGCGTGACGATCGAAAGCGCGGAGATTTTTTGGTAGTAGTCGCGAGTCGCGACTCCGAGATTTACGTGTCAACAAAAAAAGAGCAGCGCGCTCAAGGCAATTCTTTTTTCGTCGGGACCGCGAGGTGACGTAAAAAGGTGCGTTGGTGCAAGAAGATCCCAAAAAAAAAAAGAAAAAAAACGAACAAATAAAAAGAAACGAAAAGATTAATTTTTGGCATCTGTTGAACGATGTCGAAACGCGAGTCGCGACGCTTGACGTTTCTTGAAAAGATTTTCTCCGAGCGTTATCCTGCGAGCATAACGACTTAAATTGCGCGCTTTTCCGCAGTCGACTTTACTTCTTTACTTCTACGCTTTCAACGATGCAACTAAGCGTGTATCATGCAGATATGTAACGGTGCACTTTTATAATCGTGTTTAATTCAGCGTTGTGAATAAGGTTATTAGTCCATGCCCGGAAAATTGATTTTTATCCCGTTTGAGATTTCTGTATACTCTAATTGCGTTTTATTTGTGATTGAAACTCAACGGTTTATTGGATTTCGATAGCCAAAAGAACTTTATTTGTTCACATATTCCATTTAATAAAAATGTCTAATTTACGTAAGCGGCAACATAATAGAGCTAATTTGCAATACCTTATGAGCAAAAATAAGTTGCAGCTGTAAAACAAAACAACTTCGTAACGAAGATAGATTAAGACTGCGTAGTTTGAAAACGGCGACGGCGTAACAAAGACACTTTTGTGCGGATGCATCCACTTTTCCGTCAAAGAGCGTGGTGCGTTCATCGACCCGTGCTCGCGAAAATGCCAGCGGATTTTCAACGGTCCACCGTACTTTCGCTCGACGACGAAGACGCGCAAGTCCGCGCGAAGCGTCGCGACGATACATGATTCAACGTACACTCAGCTCTCGGCGTCGGCGGCAGCAGCAGCAGCAGCAACAGCACTGCGACGACGACAATCGCGCGGAAGCTGCATGAGCGACTCTTCCGCGCCATCGAAAGCCAAGTGTCACCGTGATTCTTCGTTAACCATCGCGCACACTTGCTCGCGAGACGCGCGCGCGCGCACGGTAACAGAGGCTGCGCGCCGCGCGCGCTTCGCGTAGCGACTGTTTACACCTGTTATCGAAACCAACGCACGCATCTCCTTTTCCTTTTCCTTCTTTTTTTTTCTTTCTTCCTTTTCGCGGGTGCACGGGAGACTGCCCCCCCCCCCCCTCCCCAGCCCACCCCACCTTTTTTTCCTCGATGCACGCTCGTTCCGATACACTTTCACCGGCGCGCCCCTTCTTCCCGCACTTTTGTCCTCGGCGCCGATCTCTTTCCCCACCGTCTCGGCAGTTTCTTTCTCTTCTGTTTCGCATCGCGATCGACGTGCTCGATGGGCCGCGCGATTTCGCTCTTATCTTGACACGACGGGCGAAGCGTATAATCTTCGCGTCTTTATCATTCTCTCCCTTGGCGGTGCTGCGTGATACGAATACACGAGAGATTCAACTTGCGAGGAGGTGGCTTTCTTTCGAGGCGACGTGGCTAATGGACGTGATAGAGCGGACATATGCACGCCGCAAGATATCGAGGGATTCGCGGGATTTTCATATTTGCATACATGCGCTTTACCGAAGATTTCCATTAGCTCGATCGCCCAACGATAGTTTTGCCGAATGAGCGAGAGGAAGTTCGCGCAGCGTCGGATAAAAGTTAAAATGTTATATCTGGAAATAGCATACGCCTGTGAATAAATTTGCTGTCGCACTACGTAAAAAAAAGTTTCTTTCTTTGGATGTTTACCAGGAAAGTTATGGACGGGATTTGACTTTGTTTATTTAGAGGTTTCTTCCATTCTTATAATAAATGCAAGGTTGCTAATGGCCTAAAAAAATGGTCATCTTGTTTGTCGACCGATATTTTATAAATACCGATTCTTCCTACGTCGACCGACGCGTAAAAAATGAATCGTACGAGCCGTATTCCTTTTCCGCTCAACGTATAAAATGAAAACAGCTAAAATATTCGTTGCGCGCGGTCTTTCGAATAAAAACCAAAGTCGAAAGTGCGATTTGCATCGGAGGCGATAAAACGCTCCGACATTCATCGATCGGCAGGCGCGCGCGAATATGCATCGCCGAAAAGACGGGCACCCGTATATCGATGTCGATGGATCGCGGCGCGAAGAAAGCCGCGACTTCCGCCCCCCCCCCCCCTCTTCGCCGGACGTGTAGCACGCGCGCGTCCAAAAGAACAGACGAAGGGAAAAAAGTTAGAGCGGCGAACGACGAAAGCTCCGACCGGCGCGGCATCCGTCTCAATCGAACAATTTGGTTAACGGATTAACCGGCGCCCTTTTCGTTACATATATATATATATTTTTTTTTCGTTGCCGACGTTGCGTAACGCACGCTCCGCGGCGTGCTTCGCTTTTAACGGGAGAATTTTCAATGGCCACTCGTCCCCACCGTCCAAATTGGAAAATCCGATTGCGTAAAATTACCGTGGAAAAACTGGTTCGTTTCGCTGAACGAGGTCGCTCGCGGCGCGCGTTCGTTCCGCATTCCCTCGGTCTTTTCTCGCACATGTCGACGCGAATCCACGGAAGAACAATCGGCATCCAAGGAGACATCCGCTCGCAACGAGCGTTACTTATTTTCGAGCCATTGTTTGCAATTCGATTATTACAACTACGCTGGCCGTAGTTCGAATCACGTTCCTTCGACGCCGATCACGTTGGGCTTACGATAAACCAACCTACACAGCCGAAATATGGTTTCACGAGACTGCAGCATTCGACGTGGCGCGGGCGTCGCCGAGCCGCCTCGCGAACGAACTCTGGCGACACCCTCTTGCACAAAGATGCAGAATCCCACGGACATCTCCTTTCGATCGCGCTAGTACAGTTTCGAATCTCGCAATGTTGCCGTTGCGTGCCATTGCGTAATGTCGCAGCGGGCGGACGATGGTCAATTTCACGTGTTTCTTTGGCGTTACGTGCGAATCTTGCGAGCTGCGGAACTTTACGATTGCTTTCTTTCTAATAATCCCCGCGCGCGCACATAATAAATGCGCATTACGTCAGGCTCATTATCTCCGGGCTTTTGTGGCCGGAGATGCTCGGCAGGCCAATGATTTCTGCGAAACGCGATGATCTCGTTAAAAAGGAGAAAGAAAAAAGTGCTTGCGGCCGAACGATCGACGCGTTCACTTGTTGGATTCCTTCGCCGGCTATGCTTACGCAGTGCTTACACTTCGGTCGAACGAAGTCCGCTGAAGAAAATATAATGGCCAGCCGCCTCGAATGCCGTCCTACATTCGTCAGGCAAGCGACGAGCCTCGCGCGCACTTCTCAAAAGCAAACAATTACACAAATCCCTGCGTATCTTTGAGAGCCAAGCTCCAGCGACTAAAGTTTATTTGTCTCGTTTGCCAGAGACAGTGAATACCGAGCGCTGAGCCGTTATACAATGACAGGGAGAGCAACAACAAAAATAATAATCAACGCCGCTCGGATGAACGGACGTATATCTCGCGCGCTCACGCGCTCGCGCGAGTGAAAGCGTTTTGTTTCCTTGTATAGGCAGTTTGCTCTGGATTTCAGGAAAATGCTAATTTCCCAAAGAAAGTTACATTCAAACGAGCCGTACTTTTGGAAAGAACAGCTCCGACGGAGCAGACGGCGTTTTCGTAGAAACAATCGTTTTTCCGGGGAGGAACGAGACGCTTATCGTGTTTTCGATGAAAGTCAGCGGCAATGTCGTATGCTAATTCAGTGAATTAGACGCCGTTGAAAA